GAACCCGCCACCCTAGGTGTATGTGGCTGGCGCCTTAGCCGCTTGAGCCACAGGTGCCGAGCCATAAACTTTTTGAATAATCAAATCCCATTTTCATGGCTGCAGAACACATACTAGAATGACTGGTAAATCTCATTTCCAGTGTAGATTTCTTGTGATCTCATAAACAATACGTCTAGCTGCTGAATCAAAGGATATCTTTACTTGGATAGCCTACTGTACTTCAAATTTTGCCTATCATTCTCTCCCTGTTTCTACTTCTATCTAAATCCTGCTTTCATTTTTTTCTGCCTTTGTTATCTTGTGAATTCCCAAACCAATTAACTTGAGTAAAATTTTATTTTTATATTTCTTTTACACTCAGTATAAACTAGTACCTAAGATCCCCTCTTTAACTCATGGTAGTTACTAAAGACATATGCTTGCTAAATTGGTGAATGAACATAAATTGAATGTTGCTAATATCATAGGATTTTTTTTAAATAATAAAACCAGGTAGTTTTTGATAATCTCTAGTATCTGAACAAGGTTCTAGATGTTTTGTCCACATCAACTAAGAAGGATGACTTCAGATTGAGTAGGTGTGTATTGTTACAGGGAACAGTGACATTCAAAGATGTGGCTATCAATTTCACCCAGGAGGAGTGGAAGCAGTTGGATCCGGCTCAGAGGAACCTGTATCGGAATGTAATGCTAGAAAACTACAAGAACTTAATCATAGTTGGTAAGAGTAATTTACTATATAATTCAAACTCTGGAAATAAAGTACCTTTTTTCCTCAATGTTTCTGCAATATGTGGAACTTTTAAATGCTAGAGTAAATTTTGCCTTGAGATGCCTTTGTTCATGTCCATGGTGTAGCTTTTAGAGCAAAGGGTCATTCTTGGTTATGTTTCAGTGTACAGCATCCTCAGAAGCCATATTGGCTTGTCCTTCAGAAAGCCTGATTTCCCTTGGGCAGCCTCAATTCTTTGGGTGGTTCTTCGTTCCCAGTACATATTCTCAAATATTTGTCTTTTCCCTTTGATAGGCTGTCCATTCACCAAACCTGATGTGATTTTCAAACTGGAGCAAGAAGAAGAACCATGGGTGCTGGAAGAAGAAGTATTAAGGAGACACTGTCCAGGTTAGTGGGAGGGAACTTGACAGGGGAGGAGGGGTCAGAACCCTATTAATGCTTTAATCAATGAGTACTTGATCCCTCTCAAGTATTTGTGAAAGATATTTTCCTAAAGTCTACACACTTTTATAGTGACAGTTGGTATGATCTCTTCATATGCCTAATATGTCATTTCTAAATACCATTCTTAACCCCTACCCAACAGAGTTCTTCCTAAAACAATGTATGTTGTAGTGTTTCTTTGTTCAGATCTGGCTTCTTGGACATCTTAGGCTATCATGGTCCTGTAACCAGTCTACACTCCCAAATTTCAACATTGTAAGTATTAATTAATTCTAACCTTCAGGGTACGCTATCTATTTTGACACTGTCCACTGCTTGCTATCCTCAAATCAGCATGAACAATTGTCTTCTCTTGGAATCCTTCTTCCCATGTTTTAGTCTTCACTGTATTTGTCAACACTAACTCATTTCTTATAATTGGGTTTATGGCTATCTCCTCAGATCATATAAGAATCAATGACTTTTCACTCTCCTTGTTTGTAAAGAGGAAAGGATATCAAGAGACTTAAAATTTGCCATCATGAAACATGGAGTCTTCACAGTCACATTTGATGTGTTGGTTTTGTCTTTGGAATTCTCCTTCACATCTGCTTTAGTAACCTACCATGATGACCTGACGTTACCTTCTCCCTCACCATCTTTTACTTAGTTGCTTTTCTCTTTTTCACTGTAATTAAAGTGACCAAAGAGCTTAGCATTCTACCTTCTTTTCTACATTTACAACAGGCAGTCAGGTCTCTGACTTTACCTGTTAAGACTCCTTCACGGAAATCTTTCCCTTCTTCATTCTTAGTTTTATAGAAAAGGAGAAAAATCTCCCATTTTCCCCTTGAATCTAAGCAGTAATAGGTAACTGAATGTCTCAACCTTCAGTACAAGGCTCATATGTACAATTTCATTTAATCTCACTACATTTGAGCCAGTTTCTTTTTACTATATTCCTCTGCCTGGTGTCCTTGACTATAGAGCCTTTCTGGTTCCATTTCTCCAGAATGAGAGAGTAGTCTCCCATCTCCTTTAGAGTAGTGATAGGCACCTCATTTTACAATGCAAGCATCTATTTGCCATTAGACTTCCAGTCACTTATTTTTAACTCCTCCAGTCATTCCCGCCTCTTCATGGTACATGATTTCTGTACTTCCTGAGCTTTGATTTAGTTGGAATTAGGTTTTGCTATTTTACATCTTCTGCAGGCACTTGGGTTTCAGCTTTCTCAGTTCATCTGTCAGGTAAAAAAGTCCTTAATCTTCTGTCTGCCAAAACTAAGTTTACATCTATTGTCCACTGTTATCTCTTGTCTTTGTTAGTTTATACCTTTCAAATTATCTCATATTAGTGTGATTTTGGATGGAATCAGAGATAAATTTGTATATTGTACTATATTGTACCTCAATTTCTGTCTTTTTTTCCTCTGTCTTTTTTCACTATGTTTGCTCCTTATCCAATCAACCAAGGTGGTCACCTCCGGTTTTATGTTCCAATAATCCTTTCACCTAGTTTTTACCTTCCCATTGTTTTTTTCATATGATTGATTACTATAGTGTTCAGAAAAAATTTTGATGTTTACCCTTTTGAATATATAACACATGCTTTGTGGCTTACACCTGTAATCCCAGCACTCTGGGAGGCTGAGGCAGGTGAATTGCCTAAGCTCAGGAGTTAGAGACGAGCCTGAGTAAGAGCAAGACCCTCTCTCTAAAATATAGCCAAACGTTGTGGCAGGCACCTATAGTCTCAGCTATTTGGGAGGCTTAGGCAAGAGGATCACTTGAGCCCAAGTGTTTGAGGTTGCTGTGAGCTATGACTCCACAGTAGACTACTGTGGAGGGAGAAGGGAGGAAGAAAATGAGACCTTGTCTCAAGAAAAAAAAAAAAGAAAAGTAATTCTTCTCTTACTCATTTCTCCTCTATGATGGCAACCCTAGTGTTATTTTCCTTTGTGCTATTACTGATACTTTCAAACATTTTAATTGAAACCACTGTAAATTGATTAACTTGTACATGTTTTTTATATGATTTTGAATGTTCTTTCCCAAAATGTGCTATGATTTTTGTCTTAGTTTACTAGGGCTGCTGAAATAAAGGACCGCAAACTGGGTGACTTAGAATAACAGAAATTTATTTGCACAGTTCTGGAGGCTGGAAGGTCAAAATTAAGAAGTCAACAGGGCCATGCTCCTTCTGGAACCCGTACAGAAGGATCCTTCCTTGCCTCTTTCAGCTTCTGATAGTCTCAGATGTTCCTTAGTTGGTGACAGCAGAACTCTAAGCTGTGTTTCCATCATCACATGGCATTCTGTCTCTCTGTCCCTTCACGTAGTGTTCTTTTTATAAGAATACTAATTATACAAAATTACAAGCTTACTCTATCCCAGCTTGATCTCATCTTAACTAATTATTTCTTCAAAGACCCTGTTTATATATAAGGACACATTTTGAGGTATTGGCAGTTAGAACTTCAACATAATCTTTTTGGGGGGGCACACAATTCAACTCACAACACCTTCCCACTTGTTTAAGTCTGTTTTCATTTTAAAGTTTTCTTGGCTCAGCGCCTATGGCTCAAGTGGCTAAGGTGCCAGCCACATACACCTAAGGTGGTGGGTTCGAATCCAGCCCGGGCCTGCCAAAACAACAATGACAGCTGCAACCAAAAAACAGCCGGGCATTGTGGCAGGCACCTGTGGTCCCAGCTACTTGGGAAGTGGAGGCAGGAGACTTGCTTCAGCCCAGGAGTTAGAGGTTGCTGTGAGCTATGATGCCAGGGCACTTTACCCAGAGTGACAGCTTGAGGCTCTATCTCAAAAAAAAAAAAAAAAAGTTTTCTTATGGATTCTGGATGTTTTCTAAATATTCTATATATTCTGTTGCCATTGTAAATGTAGTTTTTTCTTCTATTATATTTTCTAAATACAGTAAGCCTTTCGTATCCCCAGGTTTCATTCTGTGGATTGAAAATATTTTGGGGGGAAAAACCAACAATAAAACATAATACAACAATAAAAAGTAATACAGTAAAAATTACAGTATAACAACTATTTACATTATATTAGAAATAATATTCTGGGCTCGGCGCCTGTGGCTCAAGCGGCTAAGGCGCCAGCCACATACACCTAAGGTGGCGGGTTCGAATCTCCAGCCCGGG